TCCGTAATTACAAGAAACATTTCGTTTTAATGAAATTTATTTTTTTGTTGCATTATTTATGATCGCCACTGTATTACGACATAGAGGCTTACCTTTACGTTCATCTAAATAGAAAAAGTCACAAAAGTGTAAGATATTATTAAATATGACAGATGAAATAAAAGATATCAAAAAGTTAGTTTAAGGCTTACCTTTACGTTCACCTAAATTGGAAAAGTCACAAACAGTGTACTGATATTATTAAATATGACAGATGAAAATGAAATAAAAGATATCAAAAAGTTAGTTTACTTTACCTGCTTTAAGAACAGCGAGCGCAGTAAGTGCAACGAGTGTGAAGCCAAACAACCGAGGATTAATTGTAAGAGAAACTGGTTCAGTCATAATTAGAAAACAAAGAAAGAAAGGTTTTTAAGTAAAAGTAAAATTAAAGCAAGAGAAATGAAGGAACAGTAGGCTTGTAAAAGTAAAATGAAAACTCACCATTTTATACCCAAACTCATAAAACAAACTTTAAAAGTTTGATGAGTCGGAATAAGCTCAAATGATATACTAAATGAAAAAACGCGCTAGTTATGGTTCTAATTTTTCGGTCGTACGACTGACCGTATGCAACACAGAAAAATAAAACATTAACTTTGTGCGATGTAAGTATATTCTTAGTCTCTTACTTTATTATTTCTCCAAAATTCATTAAATAATTTATTATCCGGAGGACTTTCAGTACAAGTCAATAGGATCGACATGTCCGTCTGTCCGGCTTTCTTAATGCATTAATTAATAATTAGATTTTAAAGTTCCTTAACTCCGGACACACAAAAGTTCCAGTTAGCCTAGTTTTCTATACGTCAAAGAATAATTCACTATATACTATGTATCTGCTATCTGAAAAGCTCAAGGTTTTTTACAGTCATATTAATAATGTCATGACTAAAAATCACTAAAGATCAAAGTCAATTGCAAAGGTAAAAAGCCAATTTTTCTTTAATAGCACAGAGATAAAACCCGAAAAGAGATGAATGAGTCTGCCGGTTGAATAAATCAATTAGGAGCTCTATTAAGGTTTAGGGTTGGGCTATTCTCAGTAGTTACTTGTCTACATTTTCCACGCGTGTTTGTGACATGTAATTCCCAGATGAGCATTTCCGTTTCAGTTAATTTCCTCTGCAATTGAGTATTTAATAATTATAATTGTAGGACAAAAGCAAGATATACATATCTCCAATTCTTTCAAGAGGCAAAAGGCACCTTCAAATAAGGCACAATTTTCATTATTTGATAGAAGATGACAATTTTCTATCAATCCAAAGCGATACATCCCAATCAGTGTTGGCCAACTGGACCGAAATGGACTAACTGGAAATATAAAACTGGACCATTAGACTTATAATTCCAGTAACTGGTCTTATAAAGGTGGCTAACACAGAGTCCAAAATAGAGATAAGTCAAATCCTATATTGAATGAGATAAATCAGTCATATAGCAAAATTCAGACAAATGGCCTACATTAAATATCTGTCCACCTGCAAGCGTCCAGCCATATACAATTAGCTTTTTTCTCTGCTTATCATTTAAATATTTCCATTATTTTAAAATACTATTTAACAAGTTTCATATTAATACTGCAAGTTTGACTTTGTTTAAATATTTCTTTTTCTGTGATGCAAGTGATACTCCAAATGAACTTAACCTATTCGCAACCTCTTCGTACAAGACTTCAAATTTATTGGATGTTCTTATTAGAATGCCTTTTATATCAACTTTTCGTCTAATACGAGCTTTAACTAAAGGATTTGCTTTTTTATTTCTCATATCTTTCGAATTAAATGTCTGAGTCTCTCTTCTACATACATATAGACAAATCTTTTAGTATTATATATTTTGCTGTAATCAACTCACAATGATGTATCAATATTTTTTACTAACGAAAAGATCCATGAAAGTATTGAATAAAGGATATATGATAATAAATCTATATTAATCTTTCACCTTAGCTTCTTTTTAGACACATTATAAAATCTGATAAAAGAAAAAACTCATTAGATATCAAAGCAATTGCTAAATACTAGATACTGATAAGTAAAACCTTATATAAATTGTATATTTATGTGTATTTTTTAACCATTATATTATCTTTAAGTTTAGTGGATCACAATTAAAATCAAAATATTGCTAAAGATATTTTGGAGTTAGTTGTAGAGATTAATGAATGTGATTGGCAAAATCTTATGCAATTTTAATAATTTTATTTTGGGGAACTCTGTGCATCCATAGAAACTCTGCTGTGTTAATCAAAGATGCCAATAACCCAATCTATTAAATAGCAAGCATAATTAAGAACAAGTAATTTTATTATATTAAAATCACAATAACAAAGCTTGCATTATTATTCGACGTGATTAGGAATATTTTCTTGATATTTATTGAATTTCTCAAAGATACTTTGTAAAAGTATTTGATTTGAAGTCTATTAAATATAGTTGAAATCAGCATGATGAGAATGTAATCACCAAGTCTTAACTGTATTAAAAAAATTACATTAGGGATTGTTCCTGAAATTGGCAATACTATTTCTTAAATTCAATCTAGAATCATCTATAGAATCAACTAAGGAATGATTTTGGAAACTATTGTTAAGCTCAGAATAATCTTAACTAAAAAAATATTGCAAAAGCCAATTAGAATTGACTCAATTATTGAGTGAACATATAACGGAACACCTCATATAATATGTAGCTAGTATATGAAAAACTTTCACTTTACTCTAGACTAATTAAATTGTCCTTTTTCGATTCATCAAAGAAAACAAATTCTTCCATTACATTCTCATCGTCACTATTGTCTGCTTTTCTTTTTTTCTTCTCACAAAAAATTTTTTAGTTTGCTCATCTTTTGGGATTAACAATATTGAATTTCAAACTATATTTATAAGTTTTTCATTTAATTATCAGTAAATGGTAACAATCACAAACTTTGTTAAAATTCTTTTTCTAATGTTCCTTTAATAGTGCTAAATATGTATCCTCAAGGTCTTCCATTATATACTGGTTCTCCTTTCTTTCTAATTCATAATTTCATGAGCCTTCTGCAAACAAGTTAAATAAATAGTTATTAGTACTTATAATTATAGTTTTCATAATATTTTTCACATATGTTCGAATGCTAAGAGGTGCATATTTGATTTTATTAATAGTATGAATAAACTTATAAAATTGAGCTACACATATAGTCTAAATAGGAAGCTCAACATTATTATTACATATCTAATTAATGTAATATTCAAAGGTCTAAAATTTTGCATATATAATTTTAAAGCAGTGTTAGGCAATTGGACAATTTTGGACAATTTTGAACAAGTTTTAAACACTTTTTCTTATGTCTAAAACCTTGTTCAAAACTATTAAAAATCTAAAAATGTATTTAAAACCCATCACTACTTTAAAGTATGGATGAATTGCTGAATTTTCTATATAATTTTCAACATAATACAACCAGAGATCAGTTGGGTTTGTTAACTACAACAGAATTTTATATATTGTAAAATTTATAGGAAAGAAAAATGTAACTGTGATAAACGTAAGGCATAATACGGGATAGCAAATTAAATAAAATTATAAATCTATAACAGATTACGCTAATTAGGTAATAAATAAGGTAGTGATAAATATGCTAACACTAACCTAAAAAAACTAGTCCTCTAAAACTATAATAAAAATCAAAATACTATTTAATGTGATATGAACGATAGATAAATATTATACTTTATTATTATAGTAATTATCAGCATAAACTGTTACAGATTCAAGAAATGCAAGATCATATAAGGTAAAAAAATTTGATAGTATAACTGGTGACACGCCTAAATCATTGCAAAAAATTATCATCCCTGCTGAGGATAAACTTTTAATAAAAGCAACTATCACTTTAGCGTCAGGTAATTTGAAAGGTGAAAAATGACAAAGAATTTTGTGACTGTTACTTTGACAGCGATCTTATTTAGAGTTCTGGACAAGTTGAGTTAACTCACAAATTATATAAGCTGAGTCAAGTTTAAATCAAGTCAAGTTTATATTTTTTTGACTCAATGATTTGTGAGTCAAGCCAAATTCAAGTTAAGTTAAATATTTAATTCAACTCGATTTAAACTCGACTTAATTCGAGTTGACTCAAATTGACTCAAATTGACTTGAATGATAAAAAAATCATTCTAAGAAGAACGATAAAAAATCGTTCAAGAAGAATAATAAAAAATCATTTAACTTGAATGATAAAAAATTCATTCTAAGAAGAACGATAAAAAAATTGTTCAAGAAAAACGATAAGGAATCGTTTGACTTAAATGATAAAAAAATCGTTCAAGAAGAACGATAAGGAATCATTTAACTTGAACAATAAAAAAATTATTCAAGAAGAACAATAAGGAATCGTTCAACTTGAATGATAAAAAAATCGTTCAAGAAGAACAATAAGAAATCGTTTGACTTGAACGATAAAAAAATTATTCAAGAAGAATGATAAGAAATCGTTCAACTTAAACAATAAAAAAATCATTCAAGAAGAATAATAAGGAATCGTTCAACTTAAACGATAAAAAAATCATTCAAGAAGAACAATAAGGAATCGTTCGACTTGAACAATAAAAAAATCATTCAAGAAGAATGATAAGGAATTGTTTAACTTGAACGATAAAAAATCATTCAAGTCGAATGATAAGGAATCGTTTGACTTGAATGATAAAAAAATCATTTAAGAAGAATAATAAGGAATTGTTCAAGAAGAACGATAAGGAATCATTTGACTTGAATATAAAAAAATCATTTAAAAAGAATGATAACCTGAATCGTTTTTTTCATTTTTTTTTTATTATTTTTTTTTAAAATCGAATCGAGTTAAAATCGAGTCAAGTCAAATTGAGTCGAGTTTAAAATTTATATAACTTGAATCAAATCAAATTGAAAGATTTTATAAAATAAA